GCAGGCCTCTCACTGTTGTGGCCTCTCCCGTTGCGGAGCACAGGCTCCGGATGCGCAGGCTCAGCGGCCATGGCTCACGGGCCCAGCCGCTCCGCAGCATGTGGGATCTTCCCGGACCGGGGCACGAACCCGTGTCGCCTGCATCGGCAGGCGGACTCTCAACCACTGCGCCACCAGGGAAGCCCATAACTGCTATATTTAAAGAGAGTTAACCGATATTTATTAAGGATCTTATATGTGCTCAGAACAGTCCTAGGCATTTTGACATAATTAAGCTCACAATTCAGTTTCTTTTACTTGACGTTTGAAATTCTAGATGGAAGTTGAGAGTGGTAATGCACCCAGCTCTGATCTCACTTCACTTGGAATTTTACTTCTTGCTTATGTTAAAAAAAAAATTGTGTCTGAAGGTCTGAAATATACAATTGAGAAAAACTATTTTCCAATGAACCAAGTTCATTGGAGTGTTATTTATTTCTCATTGGCTAATACGTGTCATTGAAAGAGATTGTACGTTCTGGGGAACAGAGCCAAATACGTTAGAAGAGGTTCGTTAAAGTTGGGGTTTGGGTATTAACAGCTGTTATGGGTTGAATTATGTCCCCCTCAAAAGGAACTCTTAACCCCCAGTACCTCAGAATGTGACCCTTATTTGGGAATAGGGTCCTTTACAGAAGTATGCAAGGTCATTAGGGTGAGTCCTAATCCAATATAACTGATGTCCTTATAAGAAGAGGAAGTTTGGAGACAGACAGACAGACACACACACACGCACACGCACACGCACACACACAGAACTCCACGTGAATATCAACGCAGAGAGGTTGAAGTGATGTGTTTACAAGAAAGGAATGCCAAAGATTCCTGACAAACCACCAGAAGAGGAGGGAGACGAGGAACAGATTTTTTCTTATAGCCCTCGGAAGGAACCAACCCATCTGTCACCTTGATCTTGGACTTCTAGCTCCAGAACTGTGACACACTAAAGTTCTGTTGTTCAGGGCATTCAGTCTGTGGTACTTTGTTAACAGCAACCCTCAGAGACTAATATAATAGCTGAACTTTTTAAGGAAGAAGTATTTGATTTAACAAAATCCCAGTAAATCTCCACAACCCAGCTCCAAATCATTTTATTCATATATCTAAAAACTCTCTCCTTTTCTGTCAATTTTATTTTTTATTATTACCATCCCACTCAGTGGCAAAACTCTAGACCTTTGATTTTCTGATGTAAGTCAACGGTGGTATACAAAGCCACTGATTGTTCTCTGTGTAATACCAAAATCACTTTATAATGCTGTAATGGTTTTGGTGATATAATCCTTGGGGCTTAGGCAATCTATAGCAACGGAAAAACATTAACACATGTAAGTAGATTGTATCTTTAAAAAGGCTACTGGCAAGACAAATGGTAATTGGGCTGTTAAAATTCAGAGCAACTAAAATTTTATACTTAATTCGTAGATTAATATAATGATGCCACTATTTCCTTTACAAAGCAATTTATTGTTCCATTGAAGTAGCCAAAGCCTTATGACCTTAAGAAAGGAAATATGGATTAGAGCAATTCATTTTTTTGGTATGAGAGGATTCTGTTCATCCATGAATAAACTATTAATGGTATATAAATAAGATTTTCTAAATCTTGCTTGTAGAAACTGTTTGTTCTACAAACAGTTAATTTCTACTTAATTTCTGAAGATAATTTGACTTTTTGGATGGTATCCAAGATATATGGTTTGGAGGACAAAGGAGCTTCTAAAATGCAAAGGTTAAACTTAAAATAGATTTTTCATTTCTGATTTATGTAACATAATCAGACTGAAGGTAGGTGCAAGAAAAATATAAAGATGAATAAGATACTCCCTAGTTTTAGAAACTTGTGGTTTATTGGATGAGATGAACAACTGTGACCAGAATTACAACTCAGAAATCAGGGCTACAGTGGGGCTGCAAATAGATGTGTGAGGGTCTCCGAAATCATTGTTCAGCTCATGACAAACTCAGTGGTCTTTCTTTTAGGTTGGAGGATGCCCTGTGAATGATAACAGCCTGTAGACAACTGTCCGTGTCCCCAGTCCGAGGAAATTTGAGTAGGATCTACAGTTCTCATAAAGTGTGTCAAAGACTGAATTATGTGTTTCCTTCTAATTCTGCTCTTGCAATGGTTTCTCTTAGTCTCACTGATTCTTCTTACAAGGCCTGAAGGACAGGTAGGTCAAGATATCCAAGCTGGCAATTGGTTCAAACTTGGCAAAAGTTCTGAATTTCTTCCAGAAGGGACTATACTGGTTAAGGAGATTCTTTACTATGAAATCTAAACTCTGTATGAACTTAGAGGTTAACTGTTTGTCACATATGATTGTGATACTGAAGATTCTTTTGTGTCATGCTCTTTACCATTTCAGCTTTGATACATACGTGAAACCAAACTTCTCCTCCTGTTCCTACAATTTCTTCACCTGCTGTTCATGCCACAGAACCGGAAGTCATTCTAATTTCTTCTTTTTCTTGGGTGTTTCTGTTGCGAAACAGTTCTCTGTGGGTGTCTTGCATTTCTGCAAATCTTGCAAGCCAGACATTGAGTGCCCACTGTTCAAGATTGTCTTTACAAGAACGTGTGTAGAATGAAGAGTCTTGAAAGACAGAAGTAGTGTCTCTCTCTGGCACAGCATGCAGATTTGCTCATAGTCTTAGAAGATATAGATAGTATCTTCCTCTAGAGAAAAAGGCATGCATGCTTAATGCTCATGATAAAAATTTTAGGCTCTCTAAATGCAGGGTTCTTTTCCAGTAATGTAATCTGTTGTGTGTGCAAGTGACATCTGGTCCTTCTTTATGGCACCCTATGGACGTGGAGGCTCAGGGTACTGGCACAAAAATGCAGATACTCTGACTACTGCTATTGCTATGAGGATTAAACTCTCCTTTGTCTCTGACACAGGAGACTGTGTCTGCTCTCAGCATCCATGAAACTATAGCAGGTTAAATTGTTAGTTTGGAAGTAGTGTAAAATGTTTGACCTTTTACAATTCTTGACATTTCCCTCACTCGGGTACCCACCCTTTCCCCAAATTGGGCACTGAACTTTATAGCATATTCCCCTTCAAGGCTGTAGAGTTATTCCTTTTATTTGAAAACCAATTTGGTAGCTACTTAATATCCTCCCTGAGTCTTCTCTTGCCCCTCTCTTCTTAATCAGTCCACAATATTACAGCCAGAATGATCTTTCTAAAATGATAACTGTAGATCATTCTTCTGATAAAACCTTGCATCGGCTTCCCAAGGAAGGTGATGATGTCAGGATACTTGCAAATCCCATAGAATGGCATCAAAGAGTTTTCATGAATCATGAAAAATGAGTACACTTTTCCACCTTAACTCTGGGTGTCCCCAAAGTAATACTAAACTCCAATCTTAGCACACTATGGGTTCTGCAGATTCCTAATACTTTTTCATATGTATGCATGCCTTTGCACATGCTAGAACAACCCACCACACTCCTTACCCCATGCTGGCCTGGGAAATCTTATCCATCAGTTGGGAGTAAACCAAAGTTTTCTTCTACAGAGAAACTTTTTCACAGACCCTACTTCCCAATACAACATAGATATATACCTCTTATTTCTATAGCACCTTAAGCACATCTCCAAATTTATATTTATAGCATTGTATCATAATTGTTGGTTTGCTCACCTGTATTATCTACTAAGGAAGAAAGCCATATCTTGTATCCCTTGAGTGGCACACAGTTCCCAGAAAATGTAGGTGCTCGTTAATCCTTTTTAGATACACAACTGAGTATACAATTGATGGGTGAAGCAGAATATAGATTTGTTCTGGAAAGAGACACATACCCAAGTTACTAATATGAAGGTGACTGATGAATTATCTTTTGTGTATGTAGATCAACCTTCCACTACTTGTTGTTTCTGATGATACTGCACATTATCCACAGACAAGAGTTATAAATATCATCAATGAATTGGCCATTCAATAATTTCTTGGCCTCTGTTGACACAGCTGCCCTTGGTCTGTGTTATTAACTTTATGCCAGTCAGTTTGAAAACACTCAAAACAGCGATTGAAACAACTCTACATGAATGAACCCAAGTTTAATAGTAAAAACAGGATATTCCTGAGTTGCGTTGAGGGAAACCTGAGAACTGCATCTGGGAAATGTATGATAAAAACACCCTGATTCTGCTCCTGTTTACCCTCGGAAAGAAGGAACATTCTGTGGCTTCTTCCTAGTGGATTTAAATACATCTGTTTTCTTCCTTCCCAAAGTTGACCTTATGTTCCCAGTTAAGGCAAATCAAAGGAAGCAGGAGGATATCTTATTTGGGGTAGGACGGCCACGTAAAGAAAGGCGAGAACAAGAAACCAGCAGAACACCCTGTGCCCTTCCTTTACCTCTCTGTCCTGTGTATGTTTTCATAGCCTCTCAGTTTCAGTTCACTGGCAGCCCCAGGAAGGAGAGCCAAGTGGGAAGATGAGACTGGGAGAAGAACTCTGAAAAGCAAAACACCCTGGGCTCACTGTTTAACCTAGGAGGCAACTCGACTCCCAAAGGTCAGCTCGTCTCAGGTATCAGCCCACAGGCGTGGATTGGATGGTACCTTCCAAGCTTGGGCACCAGGATGAACCTGTGACGGGTCAGTGTCACCTCATCAAAGTGAGAGGAAAGGGGCTGTTAGGAGTCACTCCAAGGAGAGAGAACCAACCAAGATTCCTACCTGAAAGTAAAACCCTATTCTCTGGAGCAGGGGTGGACATGGGGACAGATACTTCCTCTGTAAGACAGCTTTGAAGTCATCCCTTAGTAAACATTCCTCCTCTCCAAGCTTTGCACACACACTGGGTTACCACCCACAATTCTACCTCTACCACCCAGAAGAAACCCCAAGGGGGAATGGCTTTCCCTCACACTGGGGATGAAGAGGAGGACAGTGGGGACACCCATGACCTTCTGGTGTTGGTTTCCCACTGCCACAGAGCGCTGGTGTTGGAAGGGTCTGCACTGAGTTTGAACTGGCATATTTCTAAAGCCTTTTATTTTTTAAATGAAATATTTATGACAGGAAATCAGGTTAGACATTCCTGAAGCTAGCAAGAGCTTATGAACATACTGTCCTATCCTACCTGAGACAAGTAAATGCAGTTAATTTTCTGAAGGAAGACCCAAATACCTCATTCCTTTACATTTAACCTGAGCCATTGGAGGAATGCAAACACTGATTCGGAGCCAGGCCTCCGGTAAAGGATTACCAGATGCGGGCTACACAAGGAAATTCCTCCCGGCCGCCAGAATTTATACTGCAGAGTGAGCTATGAAAAGAAAGTTTGTGCCCGGTTATGAATATGGATAAAATACATCACTCATGGTCATGGAATGGCAGGCAAAATTGAAAACACATAGTTTGGATCACAGCATATTTTCAAAAATATATTTAAAAGAAAATAAACACAGATTGTGTGTGTTCATTTATGGCTTGAAGTACCTTTGGGGAGAAGAGACATCAACAACTTTTCTTTCCAAACCATGTGCTTTTCCTTGTGCTTTTTAGCACAGAGCTGGACCCTCTGGAAAGGAATAGGGGTCTCGCAGAGTGCATGGTAAGTAGTTTTACTGGCGGGCATTCTACGCCTTTCCTGTAGAAGACAAGGAGCTGAGTCTTTGAGTGTGTCCAGAAAGGACTATGTGGCTTGGGGAGATGTGTTCAGCTCATTCCTATTAGTATTAGTTTACTTCCCCCTCAGTCTCGGAAGGATTTTGATGGCTTCTGCATTTTATACTTTCATCTTTGTTAGATTATTCATGACCATCAACAGTGTATCTATGTTGTTAAGAATCCAGATGAAAGCTGAAAATTTGCCACTCATGTCACACAGAGAGGTCTGGCCTCTAGCAAAACGAAGAAAGAGGAAGAGTTGCTTTTCTACCCACCCCACTTTGACAGCTACTCTCCCTCTCTTCCTGTGGGGGACCCAGTCTGCTAATGGTATCTGAAGGTGCCCAGAGAATCACTCATTTACATACCACCCAAAGACGACCTCTCTGGATTGGAAAGCTTACTTAATTTTCCCCTTCTCTCTTTTATTCTCCTTCCCTCCAGCTAAATTTACCTGCTCTCTTTCCCATCACCTTGAGACCCTGAGATCCACTGTGGGATAGCTAATTTACCTGCTAATACAATGAGTTATTCTGTGGTTGATTCCAGGTAACGTATTTCCATTTAATATGAACACTAACATTTTCATCTCCTCTCCTGCTCACTACTTCATCCCGAGAAACTCCGACTCAGAGCATTTAGCTGCAGCCTTACGAACTACAGGACACACCGCTGTCCTTGATTGTATCACGCACTGACCTGGTACCTAAGAAACGGTAATCCATTATTTGACCAGCACCACCCTATGACATCACCTGATACAAGACTCTGCCCAATTAGAGATGTATTGTGCCCATTTTATTATTGCTCAGCAATTTAAAATAAGAAGTCCACCAATTGTTATCACCTGAATTTGCAAAGTCATAATGTGGAACATGGTTAATGGCTCAGGTAGGAAGATCCAGACGCAAGTTCAGTTCGAACGAGATCAGCTACACTTTGTTTTCTGGTTTTCATTTTCCTGATACCCTGTCCCCATACTGGAGTTTTCTTTGCAAGCAAGACAGAATTGATGAGAACAATAAACATGTCCTGCGTTGGGCCTTCATCCCAGGAAGGAGTCTTCCTTGTTCACGCCAACCTTTGGTTCTGCTGCCACAGAAAGCGTCAACAGATTATGTAAGAGTTCTTCGAATAATTGAGTCAGGGGAAAATATTGTGGCAACTCACTGAGTTAAATGAAAGTCTGTTCCTTTGTTGGTGAAAATTTTGAAGAGGTCAGTTTCTGACCCATGGAACAAGATAGGCAACCTCCATATCACTTCTGTGTTTGTACATTCTATAATACCTCACATTCCATAGGACCCATTGTTGATTGCAAATTAACTGTGTAACTTTTGCACAACTTTGATGTTCTTCTGTTGACCTGTGGCAATTTCTTCTGTATCAAATGCCTCCAGGGTACAGAGCTAGCATCTTTAACTTGTTTTGGGTAGTATTTGACCTAGTGGCTCTTCATACGAGTGTTGAATAAAAGTCATTTTAAGGTAGTGATGCTATGCTTACGTGTGTGATAATGATGTTAATAAACTCAAACCTTAAGACGTGTCACTGGCGTTGTTAGCATATCACTAACTGATACTCTATGATGTTGATTTTCTCTCTCCTCTGCTAGAAAGTAAGATCCAGGAAGGTTTGTTACGGCTATGCCCCAAATGCCCAGAACAGTGTCTTTTTTCTTTTGTAAATTTTTAAACAGATTTATTGAGCTATAATTGATATACAAAGAACTGCACATTTTAATGTGTATAACTGGATGAGTTTGGACATAGGCAAACCATGATACCATCACCACAATCAAGACATAACCAATTCCTCCCAAAGTTTCCTTGTGTCTTTTTATTTTTTATTTATTTATTTTGTGGTGAGAACACTTAACGTGAGATCTGCCTCCTTAACAAACTTTGAAGAGCACAATATAGTATCGTTAAGGCACTGTGCTGTACAGCAGGTCTCTAGAACTTATTCATCTAACATAACTGAAACGTTATATCCTTTGAAGAACAATTCCCCAATTCCCCCAACTCCCAGGACTGGTGTCTTTAATGTAGTAGACATTTAATAAATATTTGTCAGGTGAATGAATGCTTAAAGATAAAAAAACAAACAAACCAAAAAAAACGTTGACGAGGGAGCAATTTCCTCTTCTATATCCAAATTTTAGTATTCGGTCTACTGCAGACAAAGTACTTTTCTCTACCTTGTGCTAGCCCTACTTTCTCTTGACATGAGTCTGTGACTGCTCTTACCCCAGACTTTAATGAATGGTTGACCTACTTGGTACAATATTTTTTTTTTTGATAATGTGGTATTTTTGGAAGGTACATAACTGATAATATTTCTTATCCCTGACACTGATGTGGTAACTACAAAGTATGCCCCAAATATATGCTGTTGTTGCTAAGTAATTTACCAATGTTTGAATAGGCAGCAAAAGAGGATGTTTTGATAGTATTTAGGAGCACAGACAGCAAAATAAACAGTCCATTTTTCTCTCTCAGATCTGCCTTGTTCTTTTATAAATAAATACTTCATATATATACATATATATACACACACATACACATACAGTGTATATAACAGATAATTAGAAAAAACTGTGGTATGTATCTTAATCTAAGAAAGTTAACATTTCCACAAAACTCTTAGGAAAATTAATTAAGATAGAAACGTCTTCCAAATTGCCTCAAAGTTACTTGGAAAGTTTATCTCTATATGAAAAATGGCTTAAATACTGAATTCAGGTCAATTTTCTATGAGTTTTGTTTTTACAGGAGAGAAAAACCAGTCAGGTGGTGATTTATAAGAAGATTTCTAGGCTCTTTTACTGTTGTTTTTACCTGAGGGACTATTTCTTGAGAACCACTTAAATTTCCAAAACTTAATAGAAGACATTTATTTCGCAGCAATTCCAAAAAAGAAATAAAGAGTGGATGTATTTAGGATTGATACAACAATTCAGTTTTATCAAATACTATTGTTTCCCTCCATGGTTTGGACGAAGAGTTGGAATTAAGAGAAGCAGTGTTGTTTGTGGCTGAGAAAAGAAGATTGATGTGTAAGTAAAATTCATTTAAAACTATTTTACTGGTTTATACAACTGATGCACAGAAGTTATGTATCTCCTATAAACATAAAAATGTTGCAGAATGGATTTTATCATC